TCAGCTAATTCAATAAAGATAAAGCCCGGTTTCCATATGGTCGTAATGGTCGTAAAAATAGAGTCATCTTTCTCAAAGGCCAGTTTATTATAATATTTTATACCTGTAAACCACATATAAATCATTCTCTAGTTATAATCACTCGATCTCTAAGCGCATAAAGCACGATGGACATGCATACAGCATTACAGCATATGATAGAAGGTCTAGATGAACTGACTCGTCCCCAGTCGTCTTTTTCCTTTTCAGTTTTCCACGCGCTCGCATTTGCGTGTGTCTCGCAGTATGTCTCGCAATATCTCAAATCTCACTCGCTCTTGGTATTGCTTTGACTTTTACATTTGTTTTAAATTTTTGTTTTAAATTTTCAAGCAATTTCTCGAGCTCTATTTCCAAGACCTTTAGAGACGACTGGGGACGAGTCAGCTAGATGAGGGGGGGGGCGGGGGTGGTCTGAAAATCACTAAACTGGAAAATGTTTGGTATTTTAACGAAAAAAAATGATATTTTAACGATGAATCTTTGAATATTCTGAAAAGTGCTCTGAAACGACAAACAGAATTTTTTTCTCACGCTGATCATGGTAAATTAAATTGAGCAATTATTGAGCAATCACAACCCACGATATACCCCATCAACACCCTCATGTAATCGATAGTCGGAACACTCCGTCATTACTCGGTTGCCGCGTTCCACAAGCCCTTTCGGTATCGCGGCATTCCCGTTGATTTTCACCTTTCTCGGATTTTATTTGCTCGTCCAACCCAATTCAATAACAAACCTGGCAGAATTCATTGGACTTTTACACTCTTTTTAATTTAAAAAAAGTTGTGTGATGTTCTTGACTCCTTTAGGAATTAATAAATTGACTTGATTAGCGTAAATGTACTAACATGTATGCATAAACAATCTCATAATAATAATGCTTTTCGCGCTTGGAGGTCGAGGTTGTGCGATTTTCTCTGGACAACCTTAATTGAATTAGCTGTATATCCAAATCAGTTTAGGCTTCTAAAGTTGAGGATTCTGCAACCAAAATCGATTGCTTGGTCAAATCATCTGAAAGCTTCACTGCATGGAAAGTGATTATCGTATGATATCTAGTGCAACAATTAAGAAGGCTGGCTAGAATTACAAATGGGGATTTGTTCAAATGTTTCTCCTTTCAACTCACATTATTTCACAACGTTTCCACAAGCTGTCAAAAGGGAGAAATAAATGGGGCGCCAATGCATAAAAGAAATTTAATTTAAACGTTTTCAGATATAATGGAGGGATATCGACATTGCTAGCAAAATTTACTAGCAAAACTACAAAACTCAGGGGGGGGGGGGGGATGTGCTGGCCATAAAAGCATGCACAATCAGCAGAGGATTGTTCTGTCGCCGTATTATACGGGCATTGCCACCAACATTTTAGATCCGCCTATAAACCTTCAACCACAAATTAATAATATTTCCTCAAATGCAAAACAATACGAAGACGGTAAGCATTTTGAAATTGTTTACAGTGACCTAATATAGTTATACCATTTGCCGTACATGGCAGCGCCGATCACAGCGGCAGCAGATCCAAATATATACACCTACAAACACCTACGCACGTAAAATCGCCCAAGTTGTTTGACGTTGTCACATGCAGATCTGGATACATGCTGTATAACAAAGGTTGTTGTAAAGCCGATATCAGGAGGTGTTCGCACTGCTTGTTCCCAATCATTGTGACAATGGAATACATGATTGTTACAAGTTGTTACCATTTGTTCCAACAAGACTAACACAGGCTGTTCGTAACAAGTTGACACGAGCTTGTTGTCAACTTGTTACGTGCATACAATATGATATTTGTTGGAACAAGTCATGGTTGCGAGTCCGTTGACTTTATCAACGTTGTTATAAGCTGGACTGATAACAATTTGCTACAGACTTGTCAACAACCGTAGGAACATGCAAGCAGTCTTGTTGACAAGCTGTGAGGAGACTTTTACGCATGCACCACGGTTCACGTGCATCAATATATCACTGACATTTTCCGAAATTGTGGCCATTGTATCATATTGGTTTCTCGACGGCCACTCAAACCTAAACATAAAGGAGATGACTTCTCGTCGTCTCGGGCATTGCAAAGCCACGCATGCATTCGTTAGGGAAATTAGGGTCTTTGCTCGAACTTTCGAAAGATCTTCAACCAAATTTTGTTTATGTGTAATACCGGGTGGCCCAAAAAAAAGTACTCCTGTTTGATTCGTAATAACATCTAAACAAGTATAGCTTTTAAAGAGAAATAACTTGCATCAAATGGAGGAAGGACTAACTTAGACTTTGATATATTACAGTTGTATTTCACTTAAAAATTCACGGAGATATTAATCTTTAAATTCGGGAGGATATTTCTGGATGTGTCTGAAATATGCAAAAATCGGCGTATCAAATATTAATCAAGATTTGCCCGACTGAAACATGCACTATTACCAGTAAATAAATGACACTTGACAAATTGTTTATTATGAAACAAAGTATTATTATATCTATTAATCCTGCTCTAACCGAGAAATAATCAACTTTGTTTTGAACCCATGAAAAACATAAAAATAGGTTATTTTAAGAAAAATTGAAGCGCCTGCCTTGCATGGTCTTTCAGTACCTTAAGTTTGCAAAGACCTATTAAATACTTACATAATTTCGAACGTTCATATTTCAGGAAACAATAAGTTAAGACTTACATGTAAGATGTCTAAATCTACGCCATATCCCTTACAAACCCTAACGACAATTCGCTGAAATACAATTTACCCTGATATGTCATTAAGCGAACAAACGCTCGAGTGAAAATTTGATACGCCGATTTTCGCTAATTTTAGACACATCCCAAAATATGCTCCCGATTTTGAACATTAATATCTCCGTGAATTTTTAAGTAAAATACAACTGTAACATATCAAAATCTAAGTTAGTCCTTCCTCTATTTAATGCAAGTTATTTCTGTTTGATAGCTTTACTTGTTTAGAAGTTATTATAAATCAAACAGGAGTACTTTTTTTTGGGCCACCCGGTATAATATCCTCCTATACCGTTGGCAAATATGTACCTGCAGGCTGCAGCTAGTCCACTGGCTGGCTTCCCAAATGGTAAACGGTTGCGGGTTGTCCGACTATAGTGAGTGGTAAAAGGGTGTCTCATCTTGCTAGCTCTGCCTAAAGTTCACTTTAAGTTTTGACCAAGATTTTACCGACAGTTAACAGACAATTGGGAATCGACTTGAGAAGTCACTCACCAAACCACAATTTAATTACAAGTAAGGTGAAGTATTTACTGACTTTCAGTCTGAAGACTGACGTGATTTGTCAAATGATTATCTTTATGGGCATGCAAATGAATAATTTTGAACAAATAGTGCCTGGATTAGAAAAAATCATATTTTTTAAACTTAATTAAACTCTGATCACATAATAGCTTGCATCATTCAAGGACTTGCAAAAACGTTCAAATGTCCCTTTGAGAATTGGGTTGGCTAGATGACAAAATAAAATGCATATACTAATATGAATACTTCAGCCACTGTAATTTACCTAAAGCCTAAAGGAGGAAAGTGTTGGAGGGTTGTTTTTCCTCCTTTATGTTAATGTATTGGAAGACGTGTCCATATTGCAATGGCCTGCAATGGATTATAACAGAACTACATGCACCGCGTCCAACACTACTTGAATCCCCACGTTAGCTTATAGCTTCTGCTTGGATATATTGCACTATTATATAGTTATATTATTTCATGCACAAATGCCTAATTTAGTCATTATTTCATTAATCAAAATAATATGAGTTTGCGTCCCAATATACACATGTCTTTAATTTAAGTGGTCCTTGTTAGACGGGAAATCAATGTTCTCGAAATAGGAACTAGAAATTTAGGGCGCAATTTTCAGGGACAAACTTCTTTGTTATACGCGCTGAACTCATATCAGTCTATCAGACACGTTTCCTGACCGAGTACAAGAAAAGGATTCTTTGTGGTGCTTTGTTGTTTAATTAACGTATCAGATCCCCTTTTATGGCCAAGGTAATCACAAAAATTTGTGGTGTTCCGATGCATATTCCAGAAGGTTCAGGCCAGTCTGCACGGAGCCTGACTTCTGGAATATCCACACGTACTGGATTCCTTTGTATTCGCAAATATTTTGTTGAGGATACGCCTTCGGTTCACAAGTATCAGGCAAAAAAGCACATCTTAACCGCAAACGTTATGGAAACGGTCTCCAGAGTGACCAGAGTGGAAACCATTTGATTGCCGAGTTTTGATCTCGAGTAGCAAAAGATCACATTAATTAAAATACAAAAACTTACATGATGCCTCATTACATTCGATGGCGCATGTTGTGTAAGCAATTCTTGCGTAGATGTATCGTTTTCGCGGATACGTGTGGATGGTCGAAGACGCAACGAATCCGGATATATGTGGACGCGTAAAGTTTTGAGTCCACAAATCACAATAAAATATTTGCCCATACAAACGAATCCGATACGTGCGCACGCATGTAGACGCGCAATAAAATATTTGCAGATATGAAAGGAATCCGAACGTGTGCACCCCTGTGGACACGCAGGCTAAATTTTGCTAAATATTTGCGGATACAGACGAATCCGATACGTGCGGGAAGAGCCATTAGGCTAGCTTCCAAAGTTGAGGATTTTGACCAAAATCGATTACGTGGTCAAATCGTGCATGATCAAATCCCTGCATGGAATCTAATTATCACATGTTAAAGTGTATAGTGCAACAAGAAGGCTAGACTTACAAATGGCGATTGTTTGCGATATGCTCACAAATTATTTAACCGCTCCATATAAAAATGTCAGACTGAAACAAGGCCCGCTGCTACAATCTTTGCAATAATTGTTCAAACAGTTCTGAAATTATTTTCAAATGGCTACAATTACATCATTGTTCTTCAGATTATATATTTGATTAAAATGTCAAAAAGTAGGTTATATTTGTTCATAAATCTAAAATAAATGTGGACGCATTTTCATCTCCACCTTTTCAATTCTTTCCTTGAAGTTAAGCCATGACATTGTTTTCCACTCAACTGGGCTGAATCCAATGCCTATCTTGTTCTTCCCGTACAAAGTATTAAGATTGGAACGATAACAGGATTTGTACCACCATGCTCCATGATGATTTGAAGCACAGTTTTGAGACCCCCAATCATTGTCGTTATCTTTGGTACTAAACATCATACCATCATGAATATCAAGGGAATCGCCGACATTACCTTTCAAAAAAAGCATAAATTTATAAAGAAATGTTTCAAATAAAAAATAAGTTATGTATCGACAGTGGCGTAGCCAAGGAGGGGCGAGGGGGGGGGGCGACCGCCCCCCCCCCCTAATCGAAAAAAAAACATTCTCTGAGAAAGGCTAAATCCGTAGACGTTACATCCTCGAAGCTGAAACTGATTAAGTACGTCTCGACTGAGGAAAACGACGATATACTGGAGGAACTTGATTTGTAAAATCTCGTTAAAGCAGTTGTAGATATGGTTCCAAGAAGAATAGATTTAGTTTAGATTTACATGTATGCATTTAATATATATCATACCATGAATATTCTTCTCAGACTTATTCTGTATCGTATAAAAAAGCAACGCAATTTTGAGAATGTGAAAATGCTGTCTCATAAAACATAGAATGATTTAAATGCAACATTTCTGATCAAAATCACATTGGATTTTCTTCCCCCAGCATCACAGAGGGGAAATAATGTGACGCTGACCGGCTCCTCCTGTTTTTCAAGGTGAATTTTCCAATTTATTTAATTCCGAGTAGAAAATTAGAAATATCCGGGAAAATTCATGTCTTCGATGTACTTTATAATTTTCGGAATTCTGCAAGATTTCACCCCCAAAATGCTTGAAATCGCAAGACTGTCTCGCGCCTTCGGCGTTCGCTTCGCCCCCCAAAAAATGAAGGTCTGGCTACGCCACTGTGTATCGATGTCATTAACTGGAAACACGATACGAAGGAAACAGTCAAACTGATTGTTCATATACCCACCTATACTGAGACAATAATAGCTTTAATTTAGGATTACAGTTACATGGGAGCATTCTTAACGCGTGTGCAGTTCAAAAAGTCAGTTGACTTCGTGCAACAAGTTTAATTCATACTTAGTGTTATCTCAAATTGAAAATCACTTTTGGGTTAGGATGGGGGCTCATGCGGGTTTATTTGCCCGCTCTTAGAACGACGACTTCTCTTTCAGGGTAATGTCTAAAAGGGATGGACGAGAGGTAGTTTACGAGATTGTTCCAAAATTGAAATAAGAGTTTGCGTTAGTATTAGGGTTAGTGTGGGGATTAGGGTTAGGTGTGGAATGAGGGTAAGGGTAAGGTTTATTATTTTTGCAAATGTCTGGTTGTTGATTCTGTTACGTTTTAATGATCTTAAAAAGTGGCTGCAATCTTGAAAACCTGCCTTTAGTCCACTCCCTTTAGCCACGACTCTCACTTTCCAGGTCTAAAATTGAAATGAAGCTAATTTGCCAAGGTTTAATTGAAGGATCAACTATAGTTGGTAAAATACATGTGTGGCAGTATAAGATTAAAAATGGAAATCTGGAATTAGAAAGTATTTTCAAATTCGTTTGATATTAACAATGGTCTTTAAATCAAGGTCTCGCTTAATTAACATGCTATATATGTTTCATCATACATCTGGTCTGGACCATCGTCCGATCAAATATAGCTATAGCTTACCATGGATCGAGAGAAAATATTTACATTACCATATTTGCATAATTATTTAGCCAATTTAAAAGTTACTTGCCTATTTTATTTCTACTTGTTCAGTGATTCTTATTTTACCTGTAAAGTTCCCGACCTTCAGTCTATACTTGTAAGATTCACTAGCCACAGAGAATATTCCATACTTGGCATAAAATACATTTCTATTTTGAGTTTCCATATCAATCCTTAAAACACCTTGATTTGCGGTTTTTGTCAAGCGATGTATTTTGTCCAGTCCAAGCCAAAATTCGCCATTCAGATCCCCGAAACCAGACTTGTAGTTTGACCATCCAAGATAAAAATCTTGACTTCCGTCCATTCTTCTTTGAAACACAGTCCAGGCTCCACCATCTGTTGTCATATCACATCTGACTTTGAAATCTCCCTGACCATCTGGATCAATGGTATATATACCATCTTGCTTCTTTCCAGATGTATAATGGTCAGCACAACTGCCTGCATAAAGGTAAATTCATACATTTAGTATCGGGATGGGTACGCACACGGAATCATTGTTACACAGTTATTATAATTTTTCTTTAAATTCCTTATTAATTGATTCTTTGGTACAGTACTTATCCTTTGTTCTATTGCGTCATAAAACCGTCATTGATTATTCCGGATTTTCTATAACCGCAACTATTCGGCTTCATTTATTCAAAAATAGTTTCATTGTTTTGTGCATGCTAAGCACCACACTGACACTCAGGGGCGTAGGAGCCCCCCAAGTTTTGCCAAGTGGAGCAAAGTGCCCTTTTCTTGCGTGAAAAATGTCATTAAGATTGCATTTTTTGCCCAAAAGGCACTTTTGAAAACTTGAATTTAGGTTATTTCCGGAAAAATTTTTTCATTTCCGGGAAAAATGTGATATATCCGAAAAGTTTTTTGGTATATCCGAAAAATTTTTTTCTTAGTTAGGAAAAAATGTGTTATATCCGGAAAATTTTTTTGGTATGTCCGGAAAATTTTTAGTTTAAAAACTTTATAGTAACTTCAAATAATTCAACTTAATTTTCCATTACCAAAAGTTCATTGAAATATGAAATAATTTTTCATCATTTTGTCTGCCGGAGTTTTCCGGCTCCAGCTCCGGCAAAATATGCCGGAGCTCCGGCTCCGGCGCACAGCTCTAACTGTAGTATACCATGTCTGGCCGATTAACCTGTTAATTATCCGTCGTTTATCATCGTGGAATGAATAACAAACATCTTCATGTATTTGTGCAATCCAGAAGAAAACAATTTGGCACACGTTCTACACTATGCTAGTTCGTCACTAAACCTACTTACTTTTATAAATATGTGTTCTTAACGTTTTATTCATTCTGTCCACTTTTGATTCCATCTGAACAAATTTTGACTTCACTCTTGCTTCAAGTTTAGTGAAAGTCATGTTTACTTCGTGCAGAATCTTTAAAAATAAAGAAAATGCTAATTTTAATGCATTTCTTGTACTCTATTCCATATACTGTTTGTTTTTAATTACAGATTCATTGGTAAATACTGGCCAAGCTATGCCGAGAATATTTTGGAACCAATAAAAACAAGGGCGCCGGAAGCAACGTAAAGCAGCAGGGGCATGTAGCCATTAAAATAGGGCACTTGTTTCGGAGCCTTAATTTTTGCGCAATCTTCATTAAAATTTTGTTTTATGGATACTTGATTACTTGTAGCCAATATACGGTAGTTAGACAAATTTCGGCATTGATTGGAACATTTTTGTTTGTTGCATTACGCTAAAGACTGAAATGCATTGTAAAACATGACAGCTTATCGCTTATTTAACAAGGCTTTCTTTTTTCATTTTTTTCATAAAGAAGGAAACTTTGGTAATGTTTTTGAGAGGAAATTGAGATTCAAATTTGAGCTAAATTTCTTGAAACTGAACAGCTCTCAATTTCAACTTGAGCACAACTTTCGAAGTGAAGTAATACTTGTAAAAAGGCAACCTGGTGCCCCGGCGCACAGCTCGAGTAACGGAGGCAGCTGCCCCGTGGTTTCGGCGCACGTGAATACAAAAACTACTACACTATACCGTTTCCCAGTTGCAGTAGACAGCATTATAACGCATTTTTTAAACTAAACTAATACGTATACTGTTTGAAGCACGTGTAGGAGTGCTTTATCAGATATAAAACACGAGTGCACAGCACGAGTGTATAGCACGACCACAAGTGCTTTAAATGACTTAAAAAACGGACCCATCTTATGAGTTCATTGGCGAAATAATTTTAAAAATAAATGTTGTCCAAGCAAGAAAATCAAAGCTAATTCTTTGTATAACAAATATTTCTGCAAGGTTGGCCCTAGCTCTGTCCCCCTGACAGCTCAACTTCCAGCGTCCATGTCAGATAGTATATCCGACGTATCCGTGAAACATTTAAAATATCATGCAGTTCTCACTTTCTCTTCAATTTTTTCCAATCGTGCTTCCAATATTTCTGAATTGTTTTTAGGAACCTAAATAAAGAACATATAATTTTCGTAAAGGAAAACTTAATCACTTTGCGTATAATAAAACATTTGACCATTTTATGTGTTCGTTAAGATATAATTTTGTTGAAAACATCATTTCACTCGATATAAATAAAAACAGGTAACCAAGAATGACTATATACAGTAGTCCCAGTCGACAACCGTATCGTGCATGTATAGTGAGTTTTAACATGCAAACTAAAACAAAAACTGGGGATCTATATATATCTAGTGAAGCAAAATCTTCAGTCATTCGGCCTATGAGAAAAGTGAAACCAAAATGGCGACCATGCATTGACGTCCAATAGCTTTGAAAGTCATAAATAAAAAGATATAAATTTTGAAAGTCGTTATTATGCAGTTCATAAAACCATAGTGTTATTCTTTAAATCGATAACAAAATACGAAATTTCATCACACTCCTTGCCAAGATGGCGGAAATTGAAGGAGCTATATATAGTGAACGTCAATTCCAGCCCCTTTCTGTTGTTGCACGATAAACACGAAACTGACTTCACTTTTTGGACTCGAGTTCTCGCTCCAGATATATATGGAGCTCACTGGGGCTGCACCAAATTGATGCTGATTTTCCACAATATATACAGTAGTGAGTAAATAAATCGTTCGTTTTTTAGGCAACTTTTTTATTAGCCGGCAGCAAAAAACGTTTTTCAATTTTCCCGCGTTTTCTTCCCGTTTCCTAGCCCTAGGTTACGAGGCCCCGATTGCGATTTATGAATAAGGTCTATAGTAACATATCAAAATCTATAATATATAAATCATATATAACGTACCTTCTTTTTGAATTGTCGCAATCTTTGTTCAAACAGTTCTGACGTTTTTTGGAGAACCTAGAAAAAGGTTTAATTGTTATATGTTTAAATATTTATGAAATTTTGAAATGCACATGTATATGCTTTTTGAATTGCGTGATTTCAGTCTTTTGGCTTTGGCAAGACGGAATATTTCATTCAGTGTCTTATTTTTGTAATCATATGTATATATAATTGTATTAGCTTATACCATTTTCTCCTCCGCAATAGCGTTCCATGTTTCGTTCGAACTTAGATAAAGTATCTTCTTGTCTTTTCTATATTTTAATACTCCTGGAATTGAAGGGACTTCACGGTCGGAGTCACTATCTGGGACAACTATAATCTAAAGTGTTAAAATAATAAATTCAGCTATACACTAAAAGCCATGGTGATCGAGACAAAGGATCTACATCAGAATTCGGAAAACAATAAGACCAAGAAACTTATAGGGAGAGAAAAGGAATTATAAGTGAAGATATAGCATATATGGTATTTCCTCTATTTCTCCCCTTAATTAAATCATCTTATTTGAAAGAACGTTGCAAGTCGCCATCTTTATTTATTGTTCAATTTGTATGACGTCACAACTGGGGTAAAAAGAATTTTTTATTTTGCCCGTTAATTAGGTAGGTTTAATTAGATTATAAAGAATGGAGGAGCATTGTAAAATACTTTCACATATATCTTTTTCAAACTTCTTACAAATTGTACAAAGTTATCTTTTATTGCCATTCCTCTTTAATTAATACGTTTTTTAAAACTGAATGTTTTTAAAAGGTAACATATATACGAAAATTTATTTAGCCCTTAAGCCTCTATTTAGCCCTTCCTCCAAAAGGGGGAAAACCTCTGAAATACTATATATCAAAATGTAAATTACTGTATAAAGTTACACCTCTTCTATTCTTACCCCATCATTTAAAAGCGTCTCATCTGTGGAGCAACGGCCCTAAAGAAAATAACAATTCACTAAGTAGATAGTCTGGAGGCATATATATCTTGTCCAGATAGTAGTTATAATACGCATTAATTTAATACTGAAATGAGCCTACCTTTTTTGGAATACCACTTTCACCAACCAAGTTGTACCAAACCACTTTTCCACTGACGTCAAATACTTTATACTCCATACATTTGTTCCACACTCTCTTTGGAATTGAAGACCTCACCCAAAACCAAGTGTACGTGTTTTTTGCAACATTTGCTCTGCTGTCCGCCTTACAGTGGGAGCTACAATAATTATCTGTACCACCAGGTGGACCAAAACAACTACAACACTAAAATGGTTTGAGAAATAAATCACCTTGAACCGCTAAAATGTGATGCTGATTTTGTTGGCGACAATATAATATAATTATGACAAACAAACATGCATATTCTCATTATTATGTTACTTACAAATCCTCTGTCACAACCAACAAAAGCAGTTGAGTTATGGTCGATTCCCGAAACACTGCCACTCACGCTATAACTATAAACAGGAATAATAAACAGAATTTTCAGATCTCGATCCCTAAGAGCTCAGTGTTCTATGCACATTTACGAGAATATTAACCAAGGTTTTCTTAGCATGTAAGCTGGCAGGGTCAAGTCCAGCCCCCATGCCCCTCCCAGTAAACTATGTTTCCCTCAGTGAAGGTATTTTTTGTCTAACAAAATATAAGCAAACATTAAAAGGGCAGAATAAGAGTACGTATTTTTTATACTCACATTACTAAACCTGGCTTTTATACTGAACGTTCCCGTCACTCTAAATCAGGATCAAGTCCCAGAGGCTCAATAATACAAAAATTGTCTAGGGGTGAACCCGCCCAGAACCCCTTACAGGTTAGCAGTTTTCCAACTCACCGCCTCCTAATTAGGTCCCAATTCCCTGATGGCCCCTCTGGGGCACTGTGCCGCCAGTGACTATTATTAGGTTCTGGGGTTTCGGCACGCACTGCAGGCTCGGGTCTCAGATCTCAAGTCACAAATCTGCACTGCGTCATGTAAGCAGAATATAGGGCTCCAGCAATTTTTACCCAAATTATCCATCAATTATACCCTATATTTTGAGGAAAATTCAGGAATTTTACTAAAAACGTATAGTAGCTCGTGGTTTTGATTTTTCTACGCGAAGAAACAAGTATATTTGAGCAATATTGCTGTAAAAATGTCTGCCGTAAGTACAAAATGTGTTACGTTGGTACGCTATTGGTGGCTACGAAGTTCGCTAGGTGTCACGCTTGTAAACGGTCCTGTACATTTCATATATTTCATATGTTCTGTGAAGTGCACATATTTTTCTTAGTGTTAGAGCGAGCAACGAATACTTTGTACTCGCAGATCGCAAACTCATATCAAATAACAGTTGCTCCACCCCACCTAAATTCCCTCCACGGCTCCACTGTATATAAAGTACGTACCTAAACGATCCTGAAAAGGCTGTTTGGAAACCGGGATATTTCTTGTGAAAAGCGAAACCATTGGGACATGGATTATCGAAGCAATAGTTCATCATACCCTACGAAACACAAAATTACCAAATTGACGATAATGGTTATAATATTATAGATTCATTATGTTAGGTAACGCTACTCCAAGTGGCTGCACACTGGTCAAGTAATTTTCAGCTGTTGGTTTAATACAACCTTCCGGAAAGTACGTCACTTTGGCCATAGAGACTCGTTTTCGTGTATCTAACATCAGTTAGGTTAAAGCCCACATCTCAGTCACGAAAACGAGGCTTATATAGGCAATCCTAAAGGGTGTATTGCCTGAAGATATATATTAATTATTTATGATGTATTATTAGAAAAAGACAATTAAGGACTGAATCGCAAAACTAACCCATCCAGATCCTTGCGCTGGAAAATAAGTTCCAAATTTTGAGCAACGAAAATTTGTCGTTACAATTTTCTCAGTGCGGAGATCCTTGACGTATGCGATATCCCCAATACCAGGTGATAATGGTCCACAACCACCTTTATTCATGATCACCATGAGATTTTTTAGAGAGCGTGTCTTTCGTAGCCTGTAAGACCTATATAAACAAGATAATATAAATAAAACAAAACAAATGTATATAATTTACATTATGTTTAGGGGTTAACAATTAGATATGCTGGGAGTAGAGGGGGTGTGGTGTGGCAGACCCCTCACACCCAAAAAAATTCATGCAAGCATTTAAGGGTAAAATATTCTTGCAAACTATATGAGATATTCAGAAATATATATAGAAAAGAAACTTACTGCACAAAGCTCTGAATTCGCAAGGAAAATATCCCCCCTCTCTCTCAGGATATCTGATGGTCAGTCCCTTAAAGGGGCTCTACAGTCATTTTTAGTCGAAAAGCCACCTTAAGTATTGTTTACATTTTTTTGTTATTGTCGCTATTTGACATGCGCGCATGCGTCTTCCGGTGTGCGGAAGTACTCATACTCATGGATACTGCATGTAAGATACAGCCAAACGAATCTCCGTGGAGTCCCCTACTTAAGGTGGTTTTTCGACTAAAAAATGTCTGTCGGGCCCCTTCAAGAAGGGACTTTATTACAACGTCCTTTTCATACCAGTGAAAAGAATATTGTAATACATCGCCGACAAAGTACAAGCGACTGATGGATGATGTCAGATTTCTGCCCCATCCTAGTCACAATTGCTCTAGGACTTATACTGTGCCGTGAGGATCACATGATGTTAATAACAATAACAGTATTAAATTTGAATGTCTTTAACAACAAATATTTACCAGTGAGCTTTAGTTTCAGCAAAGTTTCCTGTTGTCGATATCTGAACTCGGAAATCAAGAACTGGAGCGTTACCAAAAGAACTTGACAACTGAGGTTCACCAAATGGATCAACTGTATGGTTATTTGAGGGCACGCTCCATGTCACAGAACTGTTTTGTATGCCAATTAACATAAATCCACCCTCGTCGGTAGACATGTCACACCAGATCTAAGTGAAGGGAAATCAGAATCAGTAAATTTAAGGCATGCTAATTAATAGAACAGAAAGTTGAAGGGTTTTGTAGATGGAAATTAGAGAGAAAACTGTATACATATTTCACACGTAATCAGGAGCAGTTGCGAAAACAATTTCCGACATAACTGCTTCAAACAACATGCAGTCCAGACTAATTGTAGTATGTAACTAAGAAGAACCAAAAACAAGTTATGATATTTTCATAACCTAGTATTGAAGTACCATAACTTGAAATTTGCTGTGTTGGTGTAATGTACTCAGGTAAATAAGATGCTTGTACATGTGATGTTACTCTGAGTGTATATCCACACCGGGCAGGCTTGAAAAATATGCCTGCCCACGATGGGAATCGAACCTACGATCTTTGGAATACTAACCCAAGGCTCTGCCAACTGAGCCTTGGGCTAGTATTCCAAAGGTCGTAGGTTCGATTCCCACCGTGGCCAGGCATATTTTTCAAGCCTGCCCGATGTGGATATACACTCAGAGTAACATCACAAGCATCGTACCATAACTTGTTTCTGATCTTGTTTTAATTCAATGGGTACTTCACATTGTATAATTTTCGGAATACACTCCTGTATGTGACATTAGTCAAAGCCTAATGTCTCAGTGTTAACTTTTGTAAAGATTTTTTGATTCTTGTTTTGAAGAATTGACGAACCTTCCGAGGTACACCAACAGCAAAATTTATCCAGTAGTATCCATCTTTAGCTGCCTTATTCTTGTTTAAAATATCTGTACAGTCATAGCCGGGGTTAAAATATTCACCAATACAAGTAGAACCTATAAGGAAATATACATTACCCACGTTTTACCAAGAGTAAGAAGTTCTCAGGCAAGGATGACGTCAAAAATAGTAACGTTTTCAGCATTTACTATATGAATGCAAATCTGAAAGTTGTATATACACAAGAGAGGTTCTAGAGGGGGGTGGGAGGATGAAACACCCCCTCCCCTACATTCATGAATGAGTCGGCAAATTCGGCAAAAATTGAGCTGTTTAGATATGGACCGAATTGAATTATCTGAATTAAAACCAAACCGTGAATTTAAATATACTACTTAATACTTCAAAAAGTCCGGTGATTTAAACTGATTGGTAGCTAATTTAAAAACTCAAAACAGCCCAACAGCCAATATAAATGCAAATGAGTTGGTTTTTGACAGTGGACATGGCTGGGAACAGTTGTTGTGGGTAGTTAAGATCAGATTCGTTGAAGTATTGTAAACATGCATTTCAGAGACTCTAGACTTCAAAATGCTTCCGGAGGAGCATGCCCCTGTACCCCCACCCATATAGAGTCTAACATAGACTAATACAGCCAAAACTAATGACTCGGTAAAACTATACCTCACCCCCCCCCTACCCACCCATATTGAAGGAGGCCTATAGCGCCGCCTTTGTATATACATCATGGATATTAGTTTTTGAACGAGTGAATGGATACGAAAACTAAATTGGGGATGTTGAAGGTAAAGTAAGAAACATGCATGCGTGCCAAAAAAACGGCAGAGAAAAATCATTTCAACCGCCTAAATTTTTAGATAATTGTCTAGTAGTTCTACTTTTCAGTTTCATTTTAGGATACAAGTCCAAGTGACTTACCATCTGTTGTTTTCCAAAGATAGGCTCCATTTTCAAAAGAGCAAACAATAATTTATTATTGCCTGAACGATCTTCTACCAATTTAAACAAGCCATGATTCGCTTTGCTACAAATCCCTGGATCATAGCCTGTTGCAACATCCACTTTCTGGTAAAAATCACAAAAAAATCAGTTTAAACTTTTCAAATATCGACTTAGCTTCTTTTCTGATAAAATGATTCAATAAAATTGAAACGTACTTGGAATTGTAGTCGGCTATAGATTTTTTTTGCAATCTTAAGTTGAAAACTTAGCTTTCCCTATTTTTAGCAAAATCACGAAATTCGTTGTAGAAATAAATACTACAATTTCCCGATTTCAGTTAACAATACGAGCCTGCGCGAGTGGGAGAAAATTCGCTAAATTTGACCAACGTGAATAGGGAGCTTTTGAAGAGGCAAAGGGTGAGAGGAGCATGACTGGATTACTAAGTATGAGTTTGATAAACTAAATATAAGCAAACATTGCTCTATTAAAAATAAGCATGCAAAGCAGACCGGTAAATTATTCGAAACACACGAGTGGTATTCAGCCAGGTCCACTCAAAACTCTTTGCAAGCTACTACAAATTAAGTTGGCCTGCGTAGTTGGTGGTTTTAAGGGTAGGTGCGGAGAGCGAAAAATTAGGAAGACGACTAGAGCGCGGGTTAGACGGAAATGCGCATGTACGCTCAGCGTACAAATTTTTATATGACTTCAATCACTGGTCTCAATTGATATTGCAGTTACTCAATTGATACCTCAATTGATATTTTTATTGATATTTTCTGATTTACATCGTTGTACACTTAAGTGAAACTTACAAAGCTTGCTTTTAGTTGAGCAGTCGCAAGGGAAACCAAGACACAACTGATTACTATCAGTTTGAAATACATCTTCTTTTGTTTGAACCTGAAATGGAAAGTTAATTAGTTTATTAGTCGCTGGGGCACCGGCAAAGGTGCTGGGGCACCGGCCACTATTTCGCCAATTTCCAACAATGGACACAAAATGGAATATTCCACTGAGTCTATAAGCATATATGGACAGGCATTTGAGTGGATCCAAACAAGATGGGCGCATACCCAGGATTGCGTATTTTTTATCAAGACTTCTTGCTGCTCAGCGAACCAGCCTGAAGCGAGCGAGCGAAGCAGCAGGATAATTTGTGCAAAGAGGCGTCTCATGCAGTATTCACCCGACTCCATGTGCTTTGACTACACTACAGAGTACAGACTAAGTTTAGACTAGTAGATTAGTTTTGCCGGGTTTCTTAGTTTAATACGGTGTTTATGAATACAATATGTTGTTTTATATGCTTCAAAGTTGTCACTGCGACAATATTTAATTGCCACATACAATCATATATGACAAGACAATTTGCAGTTACAGTTTGTGAATTTGGTACGCTATCAGTGGCTACGACTTTAGTTCGCTAGGTGTCACGCGTGTAAACCTGAGCGGGCAACGAATACCAAGTAATACAGTACACGGACACAAAATTTATGATTTCACTCGGCAAATAATGCAACGAATGCATTTTAGAACATAACACAACATAAATATATCATGTAACGTCTATGTTTAATAACTAGGTTTTTAGTTGACTGTTACACTACCTTATTAGCGCAAACGGTAAGCTTGGGAAATCATGATTTATATTGTTTCGGAAATAACAAACTCATTGGCGCAAACTGCCAGGTAAACTGCAAACTTCAAAAATCAATATTCGAAAAACCAAGCGCGCTCTTCGTTAGTGGTATATATATTTGTACATGGATTTTTATAAGTTGCACAAACTCGACGATCAGAATAGTAATTCGACTAATATAGCTAGCTACTCGATATGAATTATTTGTTGACTCTTACCTGGTTCTCTTCCGAAGCTTGTAAAACTTTTAAATGCTAAACCCAGTGTTTCACTCTGTTTTATTCACAATGAGATGAAATGAAAGTGACCAGTGTTGTGTACGTATATTTATGCAACTTGTGCTGACGTAGTTTATGGTAATAGGGGAAGCCAGCCGGATGGTCACAGTTTTTGAGTAGTCTTATCTTCCTGTCAGCAGGATATGAGCTATTTCTGTCCATATAAAAAGGGGTAAAAGGGCACGAAAGAAGGGCCGGTTTATATCATATCGCGTTCTTTGCCATCCCACTTTGCAGCTAAGCAAAATAGGGGTGCATGATATATGCGCATGAAATATCTTAATTTATTCGAAACATGGACCCAAAACTCAAAAGAGGTACATGAGGTACTTATTAGCCGTAGTAGATCAAAAGCTGCTAATATGTCATAACAGTATTTGAAAAAAAAATTCTATCTAGTCGCATATAGCAATAACATAATCAAATTGAGGTTTTGTAAATTGAATAACATAAATTTATTAATTTTATACAAGCTCTCTATGAAATTATTCTTTGTGGCGGTTTTGACGAGAAATGTGGCAGTATAATCAAAACCATGCAATAATAGCTGCACGCATGCACGAGAGTTTTCAAATAATTAAGACTATACTGTATGGCTATTTAAAAAACTCATTAATAATTCATGAGGAAAATACAAAAATACAAAAATTGTATAATAGATAAAGCCCAGCTCACTCATGTTTTAACTAGTACATATCAGCTTGTCCTCGCATGTGATGAGAGTTGAAATCTCATTTGTATGATTGGATACGTGATCTTATGTAAATTATGCTGGACATTGTGCATCAGTTCATAACTTCATAATACTGTTTCAAATAATGGCTGTTTTGATAATCTGACTATGTTACGTGTACATAGTACGTAATTGCAACGCAATTTTGGACATGGGGCGATTAAGTTTTATTTTAATAATAAATACAGTGAGCACCCCCCATTCTCACTATATACTGCTGTCCTAAAATTGCATAGACAATATAAAATTTCATATCAACCAATTCCACTGTAGGAAATTTGCAAAGCTGGTGTTTTTCACTTACAACTCAATAACCTAGCTGCGTGGACGGAAACAAATTAGTGCGGAGTATTTTGGTTTGAAAATTAGTGAATATATATACAGACCTATATATTTGGCTATTTGGTTGTTTTAGAGCGTCCAAGGACCCTGAACTAAAATTTTAAATTCTTGTCGAACGTCTGAGGTCAATAAGTGATAACAGAGTGCAAACTACCGTATACGGGAAGAAATTCCCCTCCCCTCCCTCTTCCGGTTAACATAAGCATGAAATGCAAACAGTGAAACATGCAATTTTTATTTAAACATATTTTTGCACAGCGTTTGCCCTAGGAGCAATAGCTCATCAAGAGCCCGATCGCGCATGTTCAAGAGGGCTCGTCGATTAGCATGCAACGTTTCATTTTAATCGTAGATTTCCAAACCATATATTGCTCTATTAATAGACTCTGTATGCACCAGACGGTATTCTTGCGAAAATGCGAAAATTGTTTCTGCTGATACTATTTCACTATACATTCTGCACAGCGCTTGCCCTAGGAGCAATATAGCTTATCAAATAGCTCACGCAGTTTCAAGAGAGCTCACGCAGTCACGCAATTTTAAACGCACATGCAATACGCTTGCCACACAAGAATGGGCAACATAAAAACTGCTAAACTATTTTTGTAGGTTGTGGCAAGGAAGATGTTAATAGAGGGATACATAATTGAAATATAGATCACAATTTTTAAGAAGGAGATATGTCGTGTTACACGACAGACATATTTCCTTCATTTTTCAAGACCCGCGTCTTTAGTGTGACGGGGAAGTTAATTAAAAAGTAAATTACTTTGGGCTTTCATGCAAATAGCCAGTGAAGTAATTTTAGCAATAATATGTGATAATAGAGGTGGCAGAGCGCAAATTACTATATAGGAAGAAGTCTCCCTCCGAGGGGAAGTTATAATTATGTCCTTTCCGGTGACCTTGGGTTTTCTTGCTAATCTAAGGTTGCATCCAAGATATTTTTGCATCTAGTGACTTCTAAGGGTGTTAGCGGCGCGAGGAGAGTATTTGTTTTAAATTTTCTGAAGGTTAAATGGTCGGGTATACGTAGCCAAATATTACAAAGTTTCAACTCACTTTCTAAATTCTAATGACCTATTGCATATCATATACACGTCAGTTCTATTTACAACAACACGTACTGATATAGGGATTGGCAAACTAAAAGTTAAGCCTTTTGAACAAAACTGATAAGCATTGATATTTTTTAACGACACTGATAAGCATTGACAAATAAAGTTAAGCTCGACAACGGTCTCTCAGTAGTTAGTTCAGTTGGTTAGAGCGCTCCACCGCCGACCGGGCAGGGCCGCAGGTTTGTTCCTGCCTGAGGTTGATATATGTTGTATTTTTCGCAACTGCTCATGGTTAGGTTTAATAAATGTATAAAGATTCCACTCGAAATTTCCATCTACAAATCCCTTCAACATGCAAGTAGTTTTATTGAGTGAGATGCCCCAAATCCTGATATTTCACTATGCTTTTTATCGACACGAGATTTTAAAAGATATTCCTTGGAACAGTAAAGACTAAAGATTTAAAACGTGAAAAAATTTAACATTTTCACAAGATTTAAGAAATCTTCCTTGACTACGTGTGAAATATATACGTCGCCGAAAATTTAATAATTATGCTTTTACCCTGTAGAAATCAATTCTCACTGCTTAATTTATGATACTCAACTATACTCAAATTTGGGCGCATAGGAAAACAGTGTTCACTCAATCTTGGGGGATATTTGATTTTATTCTGCATCTTAAAAATCCAAGATATAAGCTTAAGGACTAAAATCAAGACGTATTAAGATATAAGGACTAAAATCCAGACGCCTGATGTTTCGGCCTTTATATTCACTAGCAGCCTGAGGATAAAAATAGCATGGAGGTAGCCTGCTGATAGGATGCGATAAAGAGAAAAGTCTTCCCCTTTTGTAATTAGCATAAAATGCGGCCCAACTGACACGAAGCTTAGTTATGCACAGGCCAGTGCATAATGCGCAGTTTAACAGTGAGTATATAGCAGTATTGAAGCATTAGTATCATAAGTTGTGGTTGGCACTCGTCCCATATTTTATCCTGCTTGATCATAATATAATAAAAGGTAAGTTGATTGAGCGAGCGATCGAGGACTATTCACGCATGTTATTGAGTTAGTTTACACTTATTACAGTTACATCCATTGTATATATATATAATTATATGTAGCTTAATGTATATTACAGGTTTCTATATACTTCTAAACAGAGATGTATTCTAAACCACTGGTAATCACTATCTTGGCTTTTTACATTGCGCTTTCGTTTGCTCACATAATCATGAAGGTAAGCTTTTCCTTAGTTGTAGCCATAATCTCTTGATAGCTTTTATTTTAAAGTACTATTTACAACATGGACGGTCGTGTATCGTAAACCATCAAGAAGTGCCATTTTACCAACTTTAAACCGTCATAAAATGCGAAGCCGTGAAGGATTTGCCGAAATTCATTTTCGTTTTCACGGCAGAAATACTTGAAATCATGTCAAGATTTGACACCAATAACTCAATAAGAAACAATTTTGGGGTTAGGTGCACTTTTTAAAATCTAGACTAGCAATTCCCCCTCCGGTCCCCCTCCTTGGTCCCGAATGTCCTAGGAATATCGCCCCGTCTTTGGGAATTTTGCTTTCCCTTGCAATCGCGCGAACATAAGAGGCCATAAGTTGGAATCGTAAATACCATTCTTATCTGGCATGCAACAGCAAACATAATATTTCGAACGCTTTTTTTTCGTCTCTATCTGGTAACATATTTAACCGAGGCTAGTAATTTAACTGTGGTCTGTGCATATTCTACTTTGTCCTTATTTGGGAGCCTAATAATTTAGCTAACGATCCTGGGCAAATTTCCCCTCTCCAACTTGCCCCCCGCCCCCCTCCCCTCTGAGTTGCCCTGGTTATTTTACTGCATACATATAGGAAAATACAGAATACATCAATCTTCAATTTTGGACAAAAACCCTTAAGACCGTTCCAGCGAATATTGCAAAGTTAATGCACATTGACAAAACAAACTTTGTCTGAACCCCCCCCCCCTCCCCAGTTTCATGTCGCGTAAACAACGCCGAAACAATTTTTGGTAATTTATCATGACAAAAGCTCAACATTGAGTTGGAGAAGCGGGGGTATAAGTGCATCGTAGCTCAACATGGAATTTTAAGGGGTATGAGGGGAAAATAGTCTTAATCAGTTATGTCCAAGATTGTAGCTAGTAGTACGTATATATAATAGCCAATGTGATTAGTTGAAAAGAAGTTGTTCCTTACTGTATATGGCACATGCACAAAGTCCTAAATTGCCGGTCGTATATTTTAACAGAAAGTGGATATTTCAAATGGGGTTGACCCAGGAATATGTAACAAGAGCAGTCGTGGTTTGGTAAAGTTGATTAGAGATCGTTCCAACAATAATGGACTATTTATTTGTTCCTATCAAATTGGCAAATATGTCTGGAGTACAATGGACGGTATGTTCCAGTTAACAAATAGATAAGATTTTGCCGTTGTCTGGTCAGTTATAGATACATATAGTATGACGTCATAATGTGTGAAGAATAAAAAAGTGGCTCACGAGCCTCGAGGCAACTTGTTGCTATGGCTAGCTTCGCCACCAACGGTATTATCAGCAAGAAATTATAAGCATTGAAGGTATTCTTAATAAACCGCCCATGCCAAGAAAGTAGAATTAGAATATTTAGCCGACCTTCGACTTTGTGCAAGGTGTTTGATATTCAAATTAGACGTTTCCTACCTTCCTGAACAGCATAGGCATACGGGACTGATGCTTTCTAGGGGGGCAGTTGAAAGTTTGCCCGAATTTTTATGGAGGATTGTAATGAAATTACCTGAATTTAATCTATTTTCTGATAAATCTGCCCGAATTTTCTTGACTTTTTGTAGCACTTTCCCGATTTTCCATGGTTTTCCAAAATATTTGGGGGCAGTTGCCCCCTCCCCCCACCCCTGTCTCGTACGCCTATGCTGAACAGGTGTCTTTAAGGCCCGTTTACACTTGCAATTTTTGCTGCGATTTTATATTAGGAGCGATTTTCTATGAGCTAGGGTATATTATCATTGAACTCTTAGGTTCAGAATATCATAACTTGTCTACTCGTTTCCATGCATCAGAAGAAGAAAATCGCATTGGAAATCGCAGCAAAAATTGCAAGTGTGAACGGGCATTTAAGAGCTGTTTACATGATGGAGGGCAGGATGTTTTTGATGTATTGAAATAAGTCACTAGGCTAAACGAAAGTTCAAATGCTTGTTAACAGAACTCAAATATTGTAGAGAAGATCTCGTAGTTCAAGAAGATTATTATTGCTGCTTGAACAACCTTTCGTTTACAGTTAACTACAATCTATCTCTAGAAAATAATGTAGTTTTTTGCTGAATCGTGCACCATGACTTATTTCAACACATCAAACATACCTCGTCCTGGCCAAGCGGGATTATATAAACAGTCTCT